TAAAATGACTCGTGAGTAAAATTACTCACGAGTCATTTTACTTGAGTAAAATAACTCTCGTGTGCGCCGGCCTTATGGTATTTCCGTGCATGCACGGCTAAATACGTGCAGACATAAGCGGATTATTATATACAATTCTATTATTTTCTCATGTCATACATGTAGGTATGATTAATACAATATACATACATGTATGTATGTATGTACATGAGCAGTATGTATGATTAAAATACATGTATACATAGTGTACCAAATGTTGAAAAGGTGCATACAGCCACTCGTGGCCAATCACTGCTATACTCGACTCAAGTGCAGGCACCTCCGACACTCCAACATGGCGGAACCGCGAGCGTTGCTCATCCTAGCAGAGGGAGCCGAGGAGATGGAGGCTGTCATTACAGCAGACGTGCTGCGAAGGGGAGGCGTCAACGTCACCATTGCAGGTACCAGATGATCAACCCAACCAGGGCCGTACGCAGCAGGGGGGCAGCAGGGGCAGTTGACCCCCTAGAGATTTTCAGAGTATGCCTTTTAATGGGACAAATACTGTACAATTTTAGAAATAAAATAGAAATGTGACAAAAGGTTATCACAAATCATCAAAGAAATATTACACTTTAAATAAAGAATTGTGAAATTGCGAAACGTTAGGGCACAGGGGGCATGGGGAGTACCTTTGCCACCCTACAGAAAATTTCCTGCGTACGGCCTTGAACCCAACATGTTATAACCCCTACTGCTTATAGCACACTCTGTACTAGCTCCAAGAACCACCGACCAGCAGTGTTTTCCTATCACAGGGCTGGCGCTGGTTTCGTTCTCGATCATAATTCTCTGTACACACTTCATAAACCCAGCAGGTTTCTTATTAGAGAGAGGACCAGTTTCCTTCTTGATTATAGCACCATCTATATTGTACGAATTTCATTAAAACCTGACGTATTTCCATATCACAATACTGGCCAGTTTCGTTCCTAAGCATAGAACCCCCTGAACAAACTCAAAAAACTCTAACCCGAATTCTTCTGTCACAGGACGAGCCAGTTTTTGTTCTCCACCGTAGCGCCCTCTATACAAACTGCGTTAACCCCCCCGCGTCTTCCCCCGTAGGCCTGGCCGGAGCTGACCCGGTCACCTGCAGCCGCAACGTCGTCATCAAGCCTGACACGAGCCTCGACGACGCGACGAAAACCGGCAAGTACGACGTCGTCGTCCTCCCCGGCGGGCTAGGGGGCGCTCAGCGACTCTCGGCGTCATCCCGCGTGGGGGCGCTGCTGAAGGTGCAGGAGGCGGGCGGCGGCCTGATCGCGGCGATCTGCGCGGGACCGACGGCTCTCGCTGCGCACGGCGTCGCGGCGGGACGGACGCTGACGAGTCATCCGTCGGTGCGGGAGCAGCTCGCCGCCGCGGGGTACGCGTACAGCGAGGATCGCGTCGTTAGGGACGGGCAGCTGCTAACGAGCCGAGGGCCGGGGACGACGTTTGAGTTTGCGCTCGCGCTGGTGGAGGCCCTGCAGGGAGCGGAGCGCAGGGATTCGCTCGTCCCACCGATGTTGCTGAAGCTGTGAGCTATACAGTGATGGAAGCCCACGACGATTGTTGAAGATGCTAGATAGACAGATATTAATATCTCTAAATGTAGCTGAAGCTGTGAGCTATACAGAGATGGAAGCACATGACGATTGTTGATGATGCTAGTTAGACAGATATTAATATCTCCAAATGTAGCTGAAGCTGTGAGCTATACAGTGATGGAAGCCCATGACGATTGATGAAGATGCTAGATAGACAGATATTAATATCTCTGAATGTAGCTGAAGCTGTGAGCTATACAGTGATGGAAGCCCATGACGATTGCTGAAGATGCTAGATAGACAGATATTGATATCTCTGAATGTAGCTGAAGCTGTGAGCTATACAGTGATGGAAGCCAGCTGATGTTGCTAATGCTGTGACAGTGTGAGCCAAACAGCAATCACTGGTGCGAATTTTTCCTTTATTATTTGTTCAAATTTCAAGTTGTTAATGAATTGAGGAATGCGAGTGGGTAAAATTAACTGTTTTTTTAAAAGCTGATTCAGCATCCATGTGCATATTACATAATTCATGAACAATTAAATTAGATTTAATTCTTCATGTGTAAGTGATAAGGTTGTATCTGAGGATTTGTACAGCATTATTAGGTTTACATAATTTGCCTTTTTCTAAATCAAAACTCAGATTTAAATAAAATTATAATTTTGCTACTGATGAATTAAAAAATTCCAAGTAAGCAACAGAGACAATTAATTTTGTTAATTTAATTTCTATCAGTATGCGATAGATTTCATCCACAATGAATAATTAAATTATATGTAGTACTTCACTAAAACTTGCATATAAATCTTACACTTATTTATAGAATAAAAATGCTTGTGGTGACTTGAATATCAACATCTTCATTTTTATATGTCAACTAGTATTCTTATGGTTGAATAATATAATGACTTACATCATATTTAAGATCACATTCCAAGATTAATGGCAAGTCCTAGACAATGCAGATTATTTATCAGCCTAAACTGAAAACTAAGATAACCAGACAACTAAGATGACCGCTTATCCACTTGGAGGGCCTTGGACGAGAGAACCATTATTAGCCAATCGGTGCTGCGACACAATGTTCTAAAAACAATGCTTAGTTATGAAGTGCCACAAAGTTGACAATATGGCATGTACAATGTAAAATCACATACAAACTGGATGAGTCTGTCAAACCTAGCAACCACTAGTAGTTACCTAGCTCAGATGGATACGTCAATAATTATTATACTAATGCTACCAGATTCTATCCATGGATAGAAATGTATACATGTATGTATACAATTGCTCGTCAAAATTTCGACTCACCTCATTCAACTCGGCTTCGAGTTTATGTTTCTCTCTCTGTAGATTGATGAACTTCTGATTCGGTCCTCCTCTCGCAGCATCCAGGTTTTTCTTGCACTGCTGCAGCTGCTCCTTTGTAGCCTTTTCCCGTTCAACAACATAGCGCAACTTTTGTTGAAGGTCTGCGTACTTCTCATCGTCTCTCTAGAACAGCAACACAGTTCAGCTACAGCAGGTACTAACGATAGTAACATGCAGTAGTAGCCAAGATATAATATATAGGAAATATTACATGCTATATACCGCATAAATGGCCATTAGTATTATAGTGACAGTACACAGTTCGACATATATAAGTTTGCATATTTCTCAAGCACAGAGAAGAAATTCCTCGAATTCACTATGTAAGATGATCTCAATTTTATCATACTACCTTGCATGTACACGAGTTTAAATTTATAATCGATATAAAAATGGCAGAAATATGCAAAATACATATCTATTTTATGTAGTAATGATATAATAATAATAATAACACAAATTATTAACCATGAACTTACTATTTTTCCCTGCTTTAGAATCGTATAATTTTTTTCCAGTTCAACAATGGTGCATGCTTTTTCGTTACGCTGAAAAGCTAGTTCCGACTCTAGCTGTACGACTTTCGCTTCGACTGAAACCAGCTCGGCTGTTAGCGCCCTCTGGTATTTTTCTGAAACAAAAATGTACCACAAAAGTGTTTGAAATAGCAGCAAATATCCCAATCCGAGATTGGTAACTTTTGCGCAGGACTGGTTTATTTTTATGGAATTTAACTTCTAATTTTATAGTAGAAATCAGAATTTTTCCAAAATTTAATACTGGCTTGGTTTACAGATATATTTCCAAGACTGAGCACAAGCTCTGTAAATATTGTGATGTGTGCTCTTGTCCAAAATGCAACAAGTTTATAATGTCAATATTACATAATAGTCATCAGAAACATGCGAATTTAGCACCATATGGCATACATGGTGCTTTAGACAGGTAAACAAACGCTGCTTGTACATGGAATATGTGACCCGCTCCAGCATAATACGGACTAAGTCGCAGGTCATTGTTTTGAGTAATGAGCACGCACACATGTCAATGCTGAAAATGGCCTACCTTGGCAAAAATGAGATTGTTACAAAAATAAGTTCCTAAGTGCATATTTAATCCGGATATATAGGTTCAGATATCTCTAGATTATTATGGTCATTTTTAATTTAAAAAAATAAAAAAATAAAAAATATTTTTTAAGGGCCCCCTGCCCGCTCATCCCCGACTGGGCCCCTTACCCGGAACGCTTTATCTCAAAAGCTGCATATTCCGGAATAAGTCGGTTTCCGATCTTCAAATTGCTGTAGATCGGTCAATTCTTTAGATATAGCCAAATATTATATATCATTTTAAAGGTAATTAAATGATCTATTCAGATATGCACACAACTCAATTTGTAGAATTTCCTACTCAATCCTGGTTTTGCTGGAGCGGGTCACATATGTGGCAGTACTACCATTATTCAGGGTTTAGTCGCGTAAATAGTCTACGACAAATGATAATGCGATATGTACCAAAAGCCGAGCGTGGCATGTCTGGAGCAAAAGCCTCGGTAACATCTAAAATGCTGCAACTGGTGTTGCTAACACCAGTTCGGTTTCCTGGAGGACTCTCCTTTTCTATCGTGTCGTCCTGCTTCAGCTGCTGTGTGGGATTCCCAATGTACTTGTGTAAGTCACTCATCATCCTAATGACAACAGTGTTGTCATGGACGACATCTTCTCCTGACATGAGTGCTGTGTGCGAAATCTTCCTTGCTGGATATGAGTCTCTGTGTTGCCTGCATAGATAGAGAAATGCACTTAACTTGAAGTCAATATACCACTTATATAACATTACTAGTAAAATAATTAAAAATCATGATAATTGCAATGATGTGTCTATTTAATAGACACATATATTAATTATCATTACAATTATCATGATCATGTGTGTGCGTGCGCGTGAGTGTATATTGTATAATATCTACATAAATGTTAAATGGTCAGATCGAAATGATATTCAGTGTCGACACAGCGAAAGCTGGTCGGCCTACAACTAGTGAACTACAACTTAGTAGTAGTACTAGTAGTAGTAGGCCTACTACAACAAGTTAAGACTCCGGACGTGATGCGGCCATGATGACGAGGCGTGCCGAGGATTGACACTTTGTGTCTTCCAATCACAGCCTACGCCGCACCAGTCTTTTATATTTTTATAGGTGGGGACCCATTGGACCACCAAATCGCCGATCTCAGGAACTAGGGCATTCTGCTATGTTAGAACGATTTCCTACGATAGAGTTTGGCACAAATACGAAAATAACACGCTGTTTAGCGCACTGCGCGCCGCTACGTCCTTCTATCGCATTTTCGCATCTCCGTAATCAAAATAAGCCCCGCCTTCTTCGTTGCTGGGCATGAATGGAGCGTCACCGACGTGACGAGTTACTGTACCTACTGTCTTTCGCCAGCCTGTTTACTTTTCGTAAATAATGAAATGAACGACCGATGCATTTCGCATCGAAGTGAAACATTTTCGACATTTTCACTCGCTGTCGGAAGTGAACGAGTGCGTCCTTCATTGAACATTGAAGATTTTCTTAAAATTAAATAATTCCGAAAGTCCCTAACCGCGCTACTCAATTGTTTTAGCCAATGAACGTAGCTGTGTGTGTGACGTCTTGCCCGCGCGCTTTATCGGAGGCAGGCACCTCGCAACACTCGTCTTTGTTTACATATAGCTTTGTGACATCAGGATGGGCGGTGTCGGGAGTTCTGCGATGATAACCTCAGAATTTCTCCGAATTTCTTAAGGTGCATGGAACATTTTACCAATTTAGTGGTCTCAGTTAGTTACGGATATATGTCACAGTAAGTATTAACCGTATATGTTTCACATACGTTCACCTATTTTGCACATAGACGGTCGATCATTATGAAAATTTATTTTTATTGAGACGTTCCAAGTGCCTGTGCTTTCAACAGTCTTGTACATCAATGCACGTGCGTCAAGAGCCACAAACTCAACACAAATCTCTGTTATTGTTTACGCATGAATGCGTGATTGATCAGGGAGGGGTGCATGTAAGAGGGAGACATTTTCTTTGGGGTTCTGAAAAACACAATTCCACTTGACAATTTCATGGGTCATTTCAATTGGAAGCTCTGCATAATGGACCCCCAACAAGTCCTTTGAATGACTAGTCAAGAAATTCAAAGGTCTGTGTATTGATCTTATTTAGCCGCCAATAGTTCTTATTTAGAACAAAGTATTCATTGTTATCTTCTAAAACTACAGACCATCCGCTGACCGCTGTGGAGACGTGCACCGGGGCTCGAATTTGGCGCACGTCTCCACTGCGGACAGCGCTTCATACTTCCACCGACTAAAAATAACTATATTTATTAATAATAATATATCATATCCCGCGGAACTGCGCGTCTCATCCGCGCGCAGCGCTCAGGATCAACAGCAAAGTTGTGCCACGCAATCTTGTAATTTTGTAGGCCTATCATGTCTCTCTGGACAGTTACTGAGTTAGTAACCAAGTTACAGTGACACCTAGCCCGACCAGGCTGTGCGACGGATTGTCTATACATTGTCTATATATTGTCTATATA